ATGACCAAACCGGAATCGATAGAAGTATGTATATGCAGGCACCAAATTACGTATCAAGAAGAACGGATCACCAGATGAAAGTTCGAGAAATTAACTGCCGAACGGATGTTTTTGCCCACTCTTTTTTCCCCCATACTATTTCCGAGTGCAATCGTCTGGACAGCTCAATTGTCAATTCTGCTGAAAACATGTTCTTCTCAGTTTTACAAAACTTTTGTTTCCAATAGGTATCTGGAACTTCTATGTTATTTTAGGCTTTCTTGTTATTTCACTTGTTTGTCATGTATTTTCTTTCATGTAACCCCCCTACAATAATGCCCCCTGGACGATGTAGGTATGTGCATAAATAAATAAAATAAATAAATAAATAAATAATTTCAATCCCTGGGGCCGGGGGAACCCCTGAGCCCGAGAGCCCAAGCATCTCGCGCTTGCAACGCCACCAAGATACAGTCACAATTTTTATTTCACACACCAAATCCTGTAACTTAAAAAAAAAAAATAATAATATATTCTTTTTTTTTTTTGGGGGGGGGGGGGGGGGGGGGGGGGGAGAGAGGGGGTTCAGAGTAACATTGTAGATTTGTTTAAATATGAGAATGCGACAGGAGCGGTCGACCGGTCGTGTTCGCTTGCGTCGCCTCGGCAAGAGAGGTCTCGTGTACTGGCCTCCGCACACCGTACCTTCGCCGGAACATGTTCGCGAGTCGCAAGCACCAAGTTGCCGCTGATCGTTCCCTACCTACTGGTTTTCCAAACCGGGTGCAGCGCCGTCCCGCATTGGAAATCGCAGTCGCGGGGATGCCGCCGACTTCGCCCTCACGATGCCGCCAAAGTGGCCGCAGCCATGGTCCGGGGGGCCGCCATTTTTCAATTGTGCTTTTCTTGGCTTCAGCCAATTTCTCATCACGAATCTTCCTTAGAGGAGCGCAAAGACTCTTTGCGTATGCACGCAATTTCCGAGAAATAGCGTTCGCTAAAATAGCGCAAGCAAAGCGCAAAACGGAGTTAGCGTTTGGCGCATGCGCAGTGGCGACGACGCTATTCTTTGCGTACGCAAAGCTTTAGCGTGCGCTATTCTAAAACGCTCTAATATTCTACCGTACTCCGCCCGCTGCTGCACTCAGAGTGCAGGATAATAGAAAAGCAGAAAGGAGGTGTCAACGACGGTGGCAGATGACTGGTCTCACCTGGCTGGGAGAGGCCGACGGTCACTTCACGACGCTGGCAGATAACAGATGTCAGAAAGGGTCGCCACATGCCTGACAATGAATGCAATATTCAAATGGAGACAAAAGAAACAAAAATATAAAAATCGCTCTTAACGCAGTTTTTTTTTTTTTTTGCGAGCTTTTGGTTTGCAGTTGTTTTGGCTTTTTTGTTCAAATCAATAAATATGAACACAGTCTCTGGATTCGTCGCACTATTATGGTCGTCACGATCGAGCAATCTGTTGACTATAGACGGCGCTCATGTAATGGAGCTGCTAGGGTTCCTGTATAGGTTCCTTAGGGGAGCCAGAGTTGCACGTTCATCCCCGCAGCGCTGTCTTTGCTGAACGGCATTGGGAGCCTGCTCCCCTGCGCAAGACACATGGACGGCAGAATCGTCCGACCCGACGTCCGATCCGACAGTCCGAACGCCGTTCCGAATTGCCGCACGCGACAGTTTGAGACACACGCTTCCGACCTTGCATGCGACACGACGATCCGTTCGGCTCCGCCCAGGAGAACCAAGCACTCCAGCGGAGGTCCGCGTTCACAGATATCTGGTCCCAGATTGACGGTTTAGCTCACACGAGCGAAGTTAGAAGCTCGTTCTCGTTAGCGCGTGCATTCTTTGCCGGGGCAATCTTTCTCGAATGGGTCAGCGGAATCCACGCGTCCGGCTTCCCGTCGCCTGTCCCGTTTTCTTATTCGTCCCGACAGACCCAGTACGCCATCATGACGTTCGCGCTGGCTGTGCTGTCATTGGCTGGACGCATCCGACAATCCGTCCGCCGTGCGAAACTATCTGGCGCGTTGGACGCATGTCGGATCGCCGATCCGACGTCAGCGACCAAATTTTTCGGATCAGGCAGTCGTACTGCCGGATCGGACGTCGGATCGGAAGGATTTTTCGCGCATGTGTCTCGCGCTTAAATTCGGCGAATAGCTGCGCCGTGCGTTCGAGGCGCGCGGCGCGCTCTAGAGCAGGGGAACGTACTCCGGGGCGAGTGCAAAGTCTACTTTCCTGCACGACGTTTGAGTCTGCTCCTCACGTGATCGGATCTCGACGAATAGCGGCGCGGCGGCATGTGGAAAACAGACGCGCAACTCTGGCTTCCGTAGGGAGGCCTACACTCTAAGAAATGCCTGCGCGTCTACTTACCCGCAAGACACTCGAAGAGCCAATCTCTGCGATCTAGGAAATCAGCTCAGCGAATGACGAGGCGGAACATCCGTTTGGACCCAAAAATGAATTCTGCGCTGTGGCATTGCGCAATGCAAAGCGTCATGCCTGCATTGCGTAATACCACAGCGCAGACTTAATTTTGAGTTCTAAACAGATGTTCCGCCTCATCATTCGCTCAGCTGATTTCGTAGATTGCAGAGATTGGCTCTTTGAGTGTTTTGCGGGTAAGTAGAAGCGCTGGCGTTTCGTAAGAGTGTACACAGGAACTCTAGGAGCTGCAAGATGCAGTAGTGCAGGTCGTTGAATGAACATGTGACCAGGGCCACGCGCTTCAGCATGTGGCAAAAGAAGGGAGAGGCCCGCTTTTATGCGAGCATGTTCTGTCTGCACGTTTCGATCACTGTTCCCTCGTTTAATGTGCCCGTGCCAACGTGACAAAGTTCAGAAAGAAAAAAAAAAACACAAAAATGCTGCTGCTTTTGGTTGCTAATCTCTGACAAACTGCTTATTCCGAGACTTATAGAATTATGCAGAACCACGTCGCATGATCACGTGACGCTGATAACGTCACTTCCATGCCTTTTCTATCTTTTCATGTATATCGCTTTTTTTTTTCCGCAGGAATGCCAACACGCGATAAGAATATCATCCGCGTTTTCGCATCCGCAGCCTTGTACCTGCTGCACGATTGGAAACTTTAGTGAACCCCCACGTTTACATGCGCTCTAAGCCCTCCCAAAAGTGACTGCTTTAGATGTTTTCGATTACGTTCAGCAAGTTTTTAATTGGAATCATATATTTATTTTAACTGGCTAAAATATACTTACTAAATTTTAGTTTATTATTTACCTAATTAGTACCTTTTATGCTATCCCCGTCGTGCGCCATGGCTTGCAGTTTGTTCCCGAAAAGAGTGTCTTTTTTTTTTTTCTCAACCACTCTATTGGTAGGAATCTTTAAACGTGTTCGCTGAAACACATGCCATAGCGGTCATAAGTTCCAGAATTATTGCGGACTGCACCAGCTTGCATTTGGAGCATCGTGACGGCCTGAAAACGCGCAAGCGAATTTGCCTTCGTCATGGACTGCGTGGACCGTGTCAACGCCTGTCAGCTTCCGAGGGCCTTCCCCCGAGAGACGCGCTTGTCAGAACTCGTTTGACCAACCGCACTGCGGGGCTGTCTCTCTCGCTCATTAATATACCGCAGAAGACGTAGTATGTTTGTCGCTCGCAGAAGTTTCGATCGCGGCAATTCAATTAGGAAGTTGGGGAACAGTTTTGTCGCACGGACGTACACTCGATATGCCTTCGTTAGCGGCATACAGGCGGGAGCGCTAATGAAATTAACCGGATGGCACTTCCGTGATACCTATGTACATTTTTTTTTGTCGTCGTGAAATTAGGAGCGTCAGGGCGTATCTTGTTTGTCACGTCATGTCTAGGCCAACCGCGCTTCATTCGACGTGTATTTTGATCGCGTACGAATAGACCGATCTCATCATTCAATTTGATTTCGCCACGTCTGCCGGCATGCATCGGAGGATCTTTAGTCTTTCTGTACGTGCGACAACCTCGCTGGAGCTTTTCGCAAACCAAACATGAAACGGCAAGAACCGTCTCGTGCACTGCGGCCAGCCTCCCGTGAACTAAAGTTATGGTAGCGTCACGCACGCGCCGAAAGCTTGATAAGATCGGGCTGAAATCCGAGCTGACGGACTTCTGAGAGTTGTCGGTTTAAGTGAAACCGGAGTCAATATAGAGGGTCCATTGTAAGCGGGCCGCCAGTCGGGTGATGAATAATGTTTATTGTTCCGAAGTGCGTCTTTATCAAGGCGAGGAACGGTGTGACGTAGGACGTCCCACGGTACATGATTGGATGAGCTCTTTCACTAGCATGACACAGCTTGTGCCCTGCTACATCTCCCCTCTTTAAAGGGATACTTCAACAAAATTTGAAATATTCCCGTCGTGTTCAAAAATAGCTTGAATATGATCCACAATATCCGTAAATGACAATCGCACATTTGTATTTTGAGCCTGGTGGCTGTATTTTTCGTTATAAACGTCCTACTTTGGCAAGCGCTCGGAGAAGGCCCAGCGGAAACCACGTGACATCCAACGCAATCGTGACGTAGGTCGTCTCAAGACAAGCAAAGCTACGGCGAGGATGACGTCGAGAGGATGGCCTAGTCGTTCCAGCCACCGAAGCGGCTGCTTTTGTACAAATTTTGAGTGACGGGCTAATCTTCTATAATCTTGTAGGGGGACAATAGCGACTTCTGTGACACACAGAAGGCATTCTCGGGAAGAGGGGGGTTCCTTCTGCCCCTCTTCTTTCGTCGTGGCCGGAGGCGAGACAACCTCCGTCACTAGCTGCCAAGGTTGCTAGACGGGCATTACAAGCGAGGCGTTAGCGACATCCACCAGGTGCTCTTTGCTAATCGTTTAATTCGTTTTAAAATTCCTTTTCGTGACTTTTTTAACAAGATATTAGTATGTTCGATTTGATGGTGCGTTTTTGAACACATACAGACCAAAAAATCAGCGCCGAAATTTCGTTGTAGTATCCCTTTAAAGGGGAATGGGAAAAGTGGAAGGGGCTTTGTTACAGTCTCTCGGGCAGTGGGTACCGGCAGGGTTCCCGGTGTTCTCGGGTACTTCTGCGTAGCTCTTGACTGGGCTCGTTGATGTCCTGGTCTGCCGGTCGGTCTTCGGTAGAAGGTCGACTTGAGTCCGGCTGGGATGCTGCCGCCCTTAGGTGCTCTCTTGTGCGTCGAATCTCGGGGCCGTCTTCAGTCTGAAGAATCGCTGAACGCGGGGTGTCCGCTGGTCTCAGGATGACGGCTGGCGACCAGGTTCGCTGACGTGTGTCGTACGTCGTGACCTGTTGCCCCGGTGACAATGGCGGCAGGTTTCGGGAGTTTCGGTTGTAGAAGGTCATCTGCCGCTGCCGGATCTCCTTGAGGCGGTTGTGGACGGCTTTACATGGCACAGTCTCCGGCTCCAGGTGGCTTGTTGGTACCGGTAGCAGCGTCCGCGTCTGTCGTCCCATCAGCCTCTGCATAGGAGACTTGAGGACAGCATCTCTGGGAGTATTTCGCCACTCAAGTAAAGCCATTTGGAAGTCTGGGATTCTGAACGAGCACTTTTTTAAAAGTTTCTTGGCCTCTTGAACTGCTCTTTCACTCATACCATTAGAGCGTGGATGGTAGGGGCTAGAGGTAGTGTGCATAACGCCTAGATGGGCTAGAAAGTCTTTGAACTCTTTGCTGTTGAATGGTGGGCCGTTGTCACTACACAGTTTCAGTGGTAGCCCATGAACTGAAAAAAAAACTTCAGCACACCACGATTTAACCATGTTTGCGGTTGTGTTGCGGAGCTCCCGAACCTCAAGAAAAGAACGAATAGAAGTCTACAATTATTGCAAACTCGCGTGCACCGTATGGGAACAAGTCCATTCCCACGATCTCCCAAGGCAATGTCGGGACGTCGTGGCTCAGAAGAAGCATCTTTACGTTTCGTGGCTGATGCATCTGGCACACTTTGCAGGCCTTACAAAACTGCTCTATATCATTAGACATGTTCGGCCAAAACATCACACTTCTTGCTCGCGCTTTCATCTTCTCCGCCCCCGCGTGTGCCATGTGCAGGAGGTACATCATTTCTACTCTTTTTGATTTTGGTATCATTACCTTATTGCTGCGAAACAGAAGGCCGTCTTGAGTGTGTATCTCCTCGCGGTACGCCCAGTAGGGACGGACGATTTCTGGGACGTCTTGCTTGTTATCAGGCCAGATTGTCTCCGCGTAGTCACGCAGGTTTGAGAGTTCGGGATCCTCAATGGTTGCTCCAAGAACGTCCTTAAGGCGAGTTTCTGATGCTGAAACGTAAGCAAGTATGTTCACATGAAACTGGGGGGTTTCTTCTTGCATGCCGACTTTACTGGGGAAGCGTGACAAGGCATCGACAAGAAAAAGTTCTTTGCCCGGCTTGTATAGAAGACGGATGGGATAACGTTGCAAAGTCAATCGCATACGTTGCAAACGAAGTGGAACTTGGTGCAGTGGTTTTTGAAAGATCGGCACCAAGGGATGGTGATCTGTCTCGACAATTACTTCCGCCTGGCCGAAAATGTAATCATGAAATTTGGTACAGCCGTGCACAATTGTCAGTGTTTCTTTTTCAATTTGTGCGTATCGCTGTTGCGTTTCAGTAAGGGATCTCGATGAAAAAGCGATAGGATGGCCTTCCTGATTAAGGACGGCCCCCACTCCGTATTGGCTGGCATCAACAGAAAGAGTGACTGGATTTTTTGGATCAAAGTACGACAGAACCGGTGCTTCGATCAATGCTCGTCTTAGCGCGTCAAAACTGTTTTGCTGCTGTTCGGTCCACACCCAGGCAACATCCTTGCGCAGTGGAGCTCTCAGCGGCGCAGTCACGTCGGACATGCGACGTACAAAACGCTGCACAAAGTTCATTGTGCCAAGAAAAACTTGCAACTCCTTCCTGTTCGAGGGTGGCGGCATCGCCAGCTGCAGGATGTCATTTGCGCGGTCCGGGTCCAGGCGCAGGCCTTGCGTGGTCAGGATGTGACCTAGGTAGCGGACTTCTGTCTGCAAAAAAGTACATTTCTTGAGATTCAGTCGCAGATTGGAATCTCGGCAGCGCGACAGCAGCAGTGTTAAGTGATAGTCGTGCTCTTCTTTTGTTCTGCCCCAGAGTAGAATATCGTCCATTACTACGGCGACACAGGGTAGCCCTTCTAGTAGGCGGTGCATTGCTGCTTGAAAAATGTCTGGCGCGGACGCGATCCCAAAGGGCATCCGGAGGAAGCGATATCGCCCGTACGGTGTGCTCATCGTGCAAAGTTTGGAACTCGACTCTGCAAGTTTGATTTGCCAAAATCCTGACGCCGCATCTAGGGTCGAAAAGGATTTCGCTCCAGACAGTAGCGGCGCGACGTCCTCTAGGGTTGGCATTGGGTAGTTTTCACGCAAAAGTGCTCTGTTGAGTGCATTAGGGTCCAAACAAATACGCACTTTGTCATTTTTAATGACGGTGACCATGTGGCTAGACCATGCAGTAGGCTCTGCTACCTTGGTTATGACGCCTTGCTTTTCCATGCGCTGAAGTTTCGCTTTGACCTTGTCTTGAAGGGCAACTGAAACTCTCCTGGCCGGCACGACGACTCCAACAGTTCCAGGTTTCAGCTTCATTTCATACTCGACATCTTTCAATTGCCCAAGGCCTTTGAAATCTTCTGCAAAAGGTTGTGTGGCTTGGTACAAGTTCTCTAGATGAACATTCTGCACCCGGTATAGAAGTCCCAGGCGCTCGGCAACGGATCCGCTCAAGGTTATCGGCACATGTTGTTCTACGACAAAGAAAAGTTCTTCGTGCGCTCTGCCGTTTGCGGAAAGAAGCAATTTTACTTTCTCGTGAGCAGTCGTTTTGTTTCCGAAAAACGCAGTTAGCGTCACTTGACACTCTTGCCGAGGCTTATCTGAAAGCTTTACGACGTCTTGCATTGATATGACGCAGCAGTTAGCGCCCGTATCTAGCTTGCACGCCATTGGTTTGCCTTCAATGTGAACTGACGCGCTCCACTTGTCGGTCGCGACCAGGGTTGTAAAAGTTACTTCAAAAATGTACCTAAGATACAGTTACAGTTACTCATACGAAAATCTACCTAGGTGCGTATCTAGCTACTCGCTTAAAAATGTACCTAGGTACAGGTACAGTTACTTCAAAGGTAATTCTTATTTTCACGTCAAGTATTTTTCTCAAATTTGTCACATTATTATTAAAAGTAAATCCTTTGTATACTGGGATGTACACAAAAACAAGTTCGATAAACATGCTTTATTGGAGTCAATGGGCCCGCCCTGTTCCCGCCCTGTTCCCGTGCCTAGCTACCAGCGAAGTCAAAGCTAGCGCGAGCCCAATGCTCTGTGCATTCCTGAGTCCTGACTCGCGCGTGGGCTCGTGCAGAGTGGGCACCGTTACGGGCTCCATGCGCGCGCTTGTAGCTTCGGCTGCGCTCGCACCGAAGCAGAAACGAACTATAGGAGGTATTCACTGGACGCCATATTTGAGGGCGATGTTTAAAGCGCATGTTCAGAACGAGCTCACATTAGTAGCCTGCCAAGACCGGCAACCATGATGGTGCTAAATGCACGCTCCAAAAGGACTGCGGAAGCTCGCCGTCAGCACGCGCTCAACAGCAGCGCACACGGATATGGCCGCCAGTGAATACTCCCTATAGTTGAGTTGCACCAAACTCTGGATGTAGTGCCGGTAAAGCCTCACCGTCCTTTTCGGAGCACAAAGCACTGCGCGACTCGCGCGACTACGGTGTCTGCTCCGCGGCTGTCGCTTCTCTGCAGCGCGTCGGTGCAGGCCAAGGAGCGCACTCAACGGGTTAACTCGCCGTGATCCGATCGTGACTTCGCCAGCACATCGAAAATGAATCGGAATTTTTGAAGCGAATATCAAATACCGCAATATTGGAAGCTGCTGCCCAAAAAACAACTCTAATCTGAACTAAAACATTCCACAACAGTGAGAGTCGTTAGATGCTGCTGCAGATACCTTAAAAGAAGTGCAGGCTGATAAAACTAAATATCCTGTACCATCAGAACTCAGTGTGACATATTTATTTGTATATTTTATCTGACGAGCAAATAAACTTTATTTAAAAAATGTTTTTTGTGTGTTTACTTTGTTGAATTTTATATAACATGTCTTAAAAAGGCGACAGACGCTGTGTTCCAATAATAGAGATGGACTGTATATAGCAATGCAGCATTATTTAATTATCAAGTAATATGCCAACATATGCCGGACCCTGCTCCAAAAGGGCCACTACCTGCTCCAAAACAACATTTTGCCTGCTACAAGGCCTGCTCCAAAAGGTCAAATGGCACTTCCATCACTTAAGGTTTGTTATGCTCCCTACTATGTGCGCTTACGTCCGTTGGTCGGCCAAGAGATTGACGTTGCGTCGCACGTCAGGGTAGCAACTTTTCGTGCGTACAATACGCCTGCTACCGATTTCTCGTTGTTCTAAACTGCGATGTTCGGTCACTGGGACTTAGAACTTTGCAGGACCCCTCGAAACCGTTGTTTAAAGCCTGTCCCTGCGTCAACTCACTCTTCGTTTTCGACGTGTTAAGACCCATTCGCCACTCTGACATCACCTATATAGTATATATGACGATATACATGCGCTAGGTAAACTAGGCTTCCGAGAATATGAACCGACCCACAACAATTATCTGTAAGCTGCCTTGTCATTGGTCATTTAGATATCGTCTTCATTTTAGTTTTACTGGAAGCAACCACTTTTTTCCCTTTTTAATGCCCGCAGGTCTGGAATTTTCCGCCGCTGTTGACCATCTTTGGCGTCTGGCAGAAATATCGTTTTCGTCTCAAGTGCTAATGCTAAAACCTAGTTGGACTAGCGTCCTGCGCCGCTGAGCTGTTCTGATACGGTGCAATAAGTATTAACTAGTCATGCTTTGCTTTTTCAAGAGGTCTCACAAGGAAGCACTAAAGAGTGTCGACAAGAACAAGACTAATGTCGACGGGGTAAAACGGAAAGCCGCGGCACCCAAGGAAAGACCCGAATGTAGCACAGGGCCTCCACAACATAGAATAGCAGCAGCCGAACCATCAGTGGCAGACTACATCAGGAGCTCGAAGTCCCCGTTCGGCCAGAGTACGAGTACTTAGATTATCTGCCCTTGATGTTTGTATCCTTCTACTGCTGCATTAAGTTTTGACAACGAAGCCTGCCTGTTTTGTTGTGCTTAATTATGTGAAATGAACATTTACATATCTAAGGTCTCCCAATACTATTTTCCGCACGTAATTATAACTGTAACTCTGGAAGTAGTATTTGTAGGGGGTGTTTTAGAAACCAGAAGGGAGTTTCTTCAGGAGTAGCATTTTTAGTTTTGTAAAGTGCAAAATTTGAGCTCGATTTATTGCGTGGAAACACTACGTGATGTTAAATTGCTTTGCGACTGTAATTATAATTTATTTTCAGTTATATGTTATATTGTATTTTCTACGATTTTGACGAAGTGAATAGAAAAGTACCTGTAAAAAGTAACTTCACTTAGTTACAAGTTACTGGAAAATGTACCTAAGATACAGATACAGATACTGAGAAATGAAAGTACCTAGGTTTGTACCTCAGGTACAACAAAAGTACCTAGCTACCGATTTACAGTTACTTGTACCTAGGTACTTTACAACCCTGGTCGCGACCCAGTTTACCGTTAATGCTTCGAGAAAGAATTCCTCGTCACTTTCAGTGTGCAGAGCGCGTAGTTCTTTCTTCGGTTCATTCGCGCTTTGTTGAAGCACAGGTGTCTTGCACACTTGAGCAAAGTGATTAATTCCACATTTCTTGCACGTTTTTCCTTTTGCTGAGCAGGTTTCGCCGCGGTGAGCAAAATAGCCGCACCTAGAGCAGGGACTCTTTTTCGTAGCAACAGCATTAATAGTTGTCTCAGGTGCGCCTTGCGCTGTTCCAGTAATCTCCCGGAACTTTTCCTGCCCTTGTGTTCGAAGGCGACACAGCTCAACGGTCTTTTCGTATGTTGGGTTTTCAACAAGTAATTTCCGCTGCAGGCTCTTGTCTCGAACTCCTAGGATGATACGGCTGCCTAGCATCCGATCTTCTAGCTCTCCAAATTCGCAATTCTTAGCTAGAATCCTTAGCTCTGTTAACCGTTCGTTGAAAGGTTCACCTTCTTTTTGGTCTCTTGACCCGAATCTGGATTCCTGGAATGTCAGGTTTGTAGCGGGCTTGTAGTATTCTTCGAACTTTTGAATCAGTACTTCTACACTGTTTCTTTCTTCATCTGTAGTGAACTTAAAGGTGTCATACGCCTTTCTGGCTTTTTCTTCGATTGTTATTAGTAAGGTTGCTGCCTGCACTTCCTCCGGCTGCTTGCTCAATTGCGTAGCGGTGGAAAACAAGGCGAACTCACGTTTCCAATTTTTCCATCCGAGCCATGCGTCGCCTGAGGTGTCCAGGGGCTTCGGTGGCGGCAGCAGCGTTGACGACAATGGGGGCATCGGCGGCGTCGACGGTTTCGACATCTCGACTGGGCACCGCTGCCACCATGTAAGCGGGCCGCCAGTCGGGTGATCAATAATGTTTATTGTTCCGAAGTGCGCCTTTATCAAGGCGAGGAACGGTGTGACGTAGGACGTCCCACGGTATAATGATTGGATGAGCTCTTTCACTAGCATGACACACCTTGTGCCCTGCTACAGCCATTAAATGATTTTTCAACTTCTTCCTCCTTAGCTTTAATCCTCAACTCAAAAGCGAAAAGAGAAATCACGTGGTCGTGATGTGCTTGGGCCAGGGTGGAAGAGACACATTTAGGTGATGACTCTGGCCGCCCTTCCCGCGGGAGCGAGCGAGCGACCAGATCGTGTTCGGAGCTAGCCTCGAACCAGGAGTAGTTAGTTCCCCGCCGCCGCCGCGGAAGGCGCTGCGGTATGGGACGAATAACGTGGCCGCCGACAACGTGGCCTCGGCGGCCACGTTGTTGGCGGCGTAGCGTGCTCTCCTTTTTCGCGGTATGGTGGTGTGGTGGTGGAGTGTAGCCAGTGGCTGGCCTCGTGTTTTGCTTTGGCGCTGTGTCGATCACAGGTGACACCATCGTGCACGAAGGTGAGCCTTAACAACAACAACAAAAACAACAATAAAAAGAAAAGGGGAAAAAAAGGAAGAATTACGGACTCTGGCGACTTGGTGGCAAAGTGGCGGCGGTGAGGTACAACAAGAAGCGGTGACTGAGGGAATGCGGGACCACCGCTGAAAGAAACAAACGGAGCGGTCGGTTTGGGAGGGATCCCATACTTGGGCGCCATCTATCCCGGTGCGAGTGAAGCACGCTCGGTGCGCCGAACATAATGTGACCGTCGCGTCGGACGAGCGCTGCGTCAGCGTTCTGCTGGCAGTCGGCCTGTCGACTTCAGTCCCTGGTTGGAAACGTTAACGGCGCCGCCATCTTGAGAATTGCGGCGCCGACGACGCCGTCTAGCGGATTAGAAAAAGAAATACCGGCTAGTTCTGGCAGCACAGCTATCTGGGTAG